GGGTTGCTATGGCCAAGGAACTTATCAGTAAGTCACCAACCAAGTGGTGACAATCCTTTCCATGTTTAGCTAGACTTTTCCTTGGGAAGCAAACAATCTGTTACCAGGAATACCACAAGCCTTTCCAGTACTGTCTAACTTGCCACAGCTTACATTCCCCTGGCAGAGCCTTTTCCCAGGGTTACTTATACACCACAGTAAAGACATCTGAGTTGACTGACCTTTTATTCATATCATATTCCCTACTTTTTCTATTTTACTGGAGTACTGCACATCTCTACAAGCCATCCACTTTTAATTAGTTTCATCTTTGGCTAACTAATGCTTATAATTCCCCAAATTTAAAATGGAAAATATTTTTTTAAATTATCATTCTCTCTTGCCACTGTGGATGAATTTTCTCTATTTAATTATCTAGCATTTTTTTCTCTAGCTTCTCTCTAACTTCTAAATGTTAAGATTTACTTTAATGTCCCATTCAATTGATTTTCAATGTACTATCTAGTAGATTTTCCATGTTCCCTTTAAAAATTAACCTGACTCTTTCAGCTATAATGGGTCATGGTGCTTAAACAAAAGAAAATACAAGCAGCCAACTATAGTACCTTAGTCTTTTATTCCTTTTCCCCAGCACCTGTGATGATGTAACAATTTCTGCTGCTGTTAAATGAGCACTCTATCCTAAAGCAATTGCTTCTATGGAAAACTGAGCAACTATTCCTTAAAATAAAATTTATTTCTAAAATATGTAAAAGAATATGGATTATTCAGTCTTAGAAGATGATGCAAGACCCTTTGGCTAACCAAGAACATCTTTTCTTTATCCAATGTGGCTCTTTAAATATTTGAACTAATGAGAATCCATATACATGCCTTTTCCTTCCTTAGATTCTGTAGCTGGCTCTGCTCTGTACCCGCTGGACATTCTATGGCAATATAATGTTAAAATTGCTATAGTGGTATTTTTTTTCCCCAAACTATCGCAATGATTTTCTGCCAGAAAGTTGCTGGACAGAGCTCAACTCCATTCTTATCTCTTAGAGCTCAATAGCTAAATTCCAAAAAAGTAACACCATAAAAGATTTTGTTGAAGACTGGCCGAAACTCTATTGGTACATCTAAATGAAAAGCTTAATAACATTTTACACTCTAGCAGGCAACTTTTATAGCTGAAAGATTTTCTCTAAGACAAGATCAACATAATCAGTTGAAAAGCTGAGCATGACACATTCATTAAATAAGCATTATGTTTATGATATAAATAGAACCTTGTTAGGAATTGAGGAATCAATCCACAAGTATTTATAAAAAAAAATTAACTTATTGTTCTAGGCACTATGTTAGATGCTAGTGATACAAAAACAAATGTAAAGTAGTCCCTGCCCTCAAAAGGCTTACATTCCACAGGAAGAAAATCATGCACATCTATGTAAATGCAAAATAATTTTGTTGGAGAAGGCTTGGTTGCTGGAAATATCAAGAAAGTTGTCATATGGAAGGTGCTATTGAAAGGAAGGAAGTTAAATATTCTAAGGGGCAAAGGCAAGGAGGGAACGTATTTGAGGTCAAGAAGATAGCATATATAAAGTCAAAGGTACAGGAGATGGAATGTTGTATATAAAGAAAAGCAAGTAGACCAGTTGTCTAGACTATAGAGTGCATAAAGAAGACTAAAATGTAAGAAGCTTGAAAGGGAAGCCGAAGCCAGATTGGAAAGGGCTTTAAATGCCTAAAAGGGGAGTTTGTATTTTGTAATACAGGCAACGAGTCACTAGAATTTCTTACATAGGAAGTGTGACATGGCCAGGCCATACTTTAGGAGTCTTACTTTACAACCATGTGAATAATAGATTCAAGGGAGGAGACATTTTGAGACAAGGAAATCAAATGATAGGCTACTCCAGTCTAAAAGTGATTTTTCAGCCATTTTTCAGTCATGTCCAACTCTTTGCAACCGCATTTGGGGTTACTTTGGCAAGGATACTGGAATGGTTTGCCATTTTCATCTCTAGCTCATTTTACAGATGAGAAAACTGAAGCAGACAGAGTTAAGTGGTTTGCCCAGGGTCACACAGCTAGTTAGAGTCTGAGACTGGATTTGAACTTGGGTCTTCCTGACCAAACCCACTGTTTTATTCAATGTGCCACCTAATTGCCAAAAAAAAAAAAATAAGGAACCTGAAGCAAATGAGATTAAGTGACTTGTCCAGGGCCACAAGCTAATAAGTGTCTGAGGCCAGATCTGAACCCAGGAGATGAGTCTTCCTGACTCCAGACATGGCACTCTAACCACTTTGCCACCTTGCTGCCCAAAGGTGATTAGGAGTCTAAACCAGGGTGGTGACTTATGTGAGTGGGGAGAAGGGAATTTATGTAAAAATGTTGTGGAGGTAGACAAGATTTAGCAACTGATTGAATAAGAGGGGATGAGGAAAAGTCAAGAGTTGAGGGTAACTCTCAGCCTTGATGGTGCCCTTAAAAAGATAGGAAAGTGTGGGGAAAAAAAGTGGAGGTGATAAGGTCTGTTTTTGACATGTTGATTTTTGAGAAGCTTATAGGGCAACCAACTGGAAATAACCAATAAGTAGCTGGTAATGTTGAGCTGGAGCTCCAGAGAAAGATTAAAGAAATAAATGTGAATCCTATTCTCAGGGAGTTTACAATTTGGTAGAGAAAAAAAGAATGTGCACACTCTTATCATATTTCAATTTTTATCATTTTCTCATGGAAAATTTATAATGACATATTTTACATAGGATGAAAAGACTTTACTAATGTGTAAGAAGCATGAAAGGGAAGCCAATGCCAGATTGTGATGGCCTTTAAAAGCCAAATGAGAGAGTTTGTATTTTGTCTTGGAGGCAATAGGGAATCACTCGAAATTCTTATATAGGAGGCATGACATGGTTAGGCTGGACTTTAGCAGTCTTACTTTAGCAACAGTGTGAATAATAGATTGAAGGGCATAATTCCCCAAACATCTATTCCATCTGTTGGTGGGAACTGGCAAATCAGTGAGATTATTACCCCCTTTGAAATGTTGAAATATTATATATAAGGGTGTAGTTTAATTCATCAAGCATTTATTAAGTTTCTGCTATTCTTCTGGGGATATAAAGATAAAGACTCAATCCCTTCCCTCAAGGCATTTACATTTTACTGGAGTAGTACATGGAAGACTGGGAGAAGATTTATATTATAAGAAAATTATATCTCTATATACAAAGCTAAAGTTTGTATGGCAAACAGATTCCTTGGCAGCATCAAAAATGAACATAATCTGAGTTAGTACAATGAACATAAAAAAGTTTGTAGCTACCATTATTGTAGAGAAATTACATTAGTATAATAATTTAAATGTGGTTATTCTAAAATTCCCATACCTTGATATATACTGCCAAAGGATAAAAAAAAAATAATGGAAAAAAAGGTGACATATACACCAAACTATTCCATAGCACTTTTTGTTATAAAAAAAGAAATGAACTGAATAATATTGATGTCCACTGAAATGGAAATAGCCAGATAAATTATCCTATGTGAATGTAATGGAGTATTACAGTTCAAAATGAAACAATGAATATGAAGGATATATCGATGCTTGGAAAGATTTGTATGAACTAATACAGAGTAAAGTAAGCAGGACAAGATGAACAACTACAACATTGTAAATGGAAATAAATAAAACAAAACAAAACAAAACCAAAGTGAGTACTGTGTAACTCTAGCAATCAACCTTGTTTTTGAAGAAATGATATGGTATGAGAATCACGTTTCTCCCTTCTTTGGAGAGGTGGAGTACTATGTGTGTATAATATTGAATACATTATTGGACTTTGTTGATGTGTTGATTAGTTTTGTTGAACTAATTTTTTTTTCTCTTAATGTTTCTTTGGAATAAGGGATGGTTCACTGGGTGGGGGAAAATATGAAGGTAATGGAAAAAAATCAGAAAAAAAGTTCTTAAAAAAATCAATGTCATTCTTAGATCATTGAAATATTACTTTCCCTATTAGCTTTATGCAGCAGTAAAGCTACTTTAAAATGTATATATTCCCTAGTTAGGTGTTAGATGTTCATGCAAAATTACCTTCAAGTGTGACTTAGGACAGATTTGAGTTTATTATGGCATATCATCTACATGGTATGATTTGGGAAGCACCAGGACAGCCCCTTCAAAAATACCTCTTTCCTGGGGCAGCTAGATGGTGCAGTGGATAGAGCACTGGCCCTGGAGTCTGGAGGACCTGAGTTCAAATCCAGTCTCAGACCAGATACTTGACACTTAATAGTTATGTGACCCTAGGCAAGTCACTTAACCCCAATTGCCTCACCCCCCAAAAAATACCTCTTTCCTTCATTATCTTGTTGCTGATAATAAAATTTTACCATCAGAAATTAATTCCTATAGATTATTAAGGAATAGTCCCATTAAAGAGCTGATAGTGCTTGTAGGAGTGATTGAATAAGCCTTAACAGTTATTCAATTCTGTGATTGAGTTTATCAGAGTTTTTCTAAATGACAACTTGTTGAGAGCAGCTTCCTAAAATCTCATTGATGAATTCGGTAGGTGGGAGGGCAAACAAATTCAGAGTCATAAATACTGGCCTGAGTAGGTTTTAGGGCAGGACTTTTCTAGACAGCCAGGGAATATCATGAAGGTCCTTTGAATACATGGAGAAAGAGAGTCAAGAGATATTGATATGAAAGGTGGAAGGGATGGCCTAGAAGACACATTTACCCTGTTTCACAATTTTGGCCACTTATGGAAATAAATGCCCAACTAAGTTGGGCTCCATAGCAGATACAGTAGAATTAGGGAGTATGTAAGACTCATGTATAAGTATGAGCTCTTTCAGAGCAACTATTTTGAAATAAAGTGGGGAATTGGTTTGTTGTAATGCTTTATTTGAAGTCTCTGTGCAATATCATTTTGCAAATTTACCCCAAAAGACTGATTTTTCTTGGTTTTGTTTTCCTTTTTCCTCCCACTCAACAGAAGATGCATGTCTTCAAAAAGACTCTACAAGCATTGATCTACCCAATGTCATCTACCACCCCTCACAATTTTGAGGTGTGGACAGCTACCACCCCAACCTACTGCTATGAATGTGAAGGTCTTCTGTGGGGGATAGCAAGACAAGGCATGAAGTGCATGGAGTGCGGTGTCAAATGTCATGAAAAGTGTCAGGACCTTCTAAATGCTGACTGTTTGCAGAGTGAGTATTCAGTCAAGTATTCTATGTATTCAAGCAATACGGTACCTGCATGATTTCTAGGTAAAAACTTGACATTTCTCACAATTTATTTAGGCTGGCCAGTTAAATAGCCACTGAGTGGAGACATGGCACTGTTCATAAGGTGATGAATTGGTTTTATATTGTCATTCACATGGAAGGGCAGAGTCATAATTAGGTCAGACTCTGTCCCATACAGCTCGGATTTAGAGGGCTCTGAACATGCACTTCTTCACTAGGTATAATGGAGCTTATTTCCTGGAGTTGGGCCTGGGCCTGGCCTTGCCCTGTTTCCTCCTCTTTAAGAAGACTTGTTAGCAACAGCCCTTAACTCTCTCTCTTAGAGTCCCAGCCTACAGATGCTTCTGTGCCAGGTTCTCTTTCTCTCCTGTCCCACAGTCTCTCCACCACCAACTGATTTTGTTCTAAAAAGCTGTTTGGAGGACCATTTTCCTGATCACCAAAACCATAGTAATAGCTCTGTTACAGCATCCAGGTTTTATAGCAGAAAAGGGCAGCCATAACATGAAAAGTAGTTATAAAGGGTTTGGGTTTCGATTCAGTGAAGTAAGCCTTCTTAAAACAAAGTGACCCCACAAGCAATTCTTCAGCCATATGCTGTCAGTGGAACTGGCACTGAGGGAGATATTTGAATATTTTGCATTTACACAATGTTGTATACTTTTTCTTCTCCAGAGTTAACCTCCTTTATGTCTTCTTAACCCAATGGCCCTGTGAGGAAGTAGATGGGTAGGTGGCATCTGCAATTCATTTTCAGTGGCCAAATTATTCCCGTGGAATTGTGGCAGCATAAATTGTTGCCTGAGCTTCCCAGATTGAGGACAAAGGAATGATTTGCACAGAGTCTCACCTGGCAGCTAGGATCCTGCCGTGGCCAACTCTTCTAGTGATGCATGAGTACCTGATGTGGCCTTTTCTAACAGATTATTTCGAATTGTGTACTTTAGAGCATTCATGCAGCACGTTCTTTGCCTTAGTTAACCTTTGGCTAGCTGCTGAACCACCACAGTACTGAACTATGAAAGATGTTTGGGTTTTGTTTTTTTTTAAGTTTCTGATGAGGCCCTCAATTGCATCTGTAGGCAAAACAAAAGGACCTTTCTAATCTAAGATACTAACAAAACTATCTCCAGGACCCTCTGTTTAAATGCTGATATGCACTCACAAATCTTGCTTTCTTTGACCCATCTGCTCATTACCTATTTCATTTCTGTTTATGTGGAATGTCCAACACAGGGACTGAGTGAATTGAGCAGATTCCTTTGTAGAAAACACAGGGAAATGTCAAAGGGAAGATGAAATCAGAGATACTGCCAGGGCTTGTCATAATTTCAGCCATATACGTTCCACAGCCTTTTTACCTGATTAAAATTCTCTCTGCATGACCACACAGAAGCTATGTTAATGGTAATGAATACATATGAATATATTTTCAGCTCAAGGAATAGTATTGTTCTTTAGAGAAATCTGCCATTTGGAGTGCCTACTTAAAGAGGAAACAAAGCCTCTTTACAATCAATGTTATTCATCCAGTTTATTTAGAGGAACACAGATGCAATTAAAATCTGACCCACTGTATAAAAATGATTAATTGTATATAGTAGTTCTAAGAAATACTCCAATCAGAATGGTAGGGTGGGGCGAAGTCAATGGAGGAGAAAAAAATGTATTTGCAGCATGTAATAAATGACTAGTGTCCTTCGAGAAAGATGGTGAGGATCACACATAAATAATTAGCTCACTCCCCTTTTGTTCTTTCATGTACAATAGATAATAAACTGATCATTAAATATCAAAAACCTCTGCATATAATCCTAATATTCACTGTTTGTAAGTGGGTAATATTTTATATTGGTTTAAATGTGTAGTTCTTTAAAATACTAGTGGAATGCACTCAGAATATTTGAGGTTAGTGATGTTTTCATGTTTAAATGCATATATGAAACTCAAGAATAAAAGAGAACGCAGGCCATAGGAGGCTACGTGCACTGAGAGTCTCAGCTCTAGCATTGCCATTGGCATGTTGTGGTTCATTCCTTGGTAAGTCACTGCCCTTCTCTGCTTGATTTTCTTCATCTATTAAATAGGTATGATTATACATCCCCTATATCTCTTACAGGAAATAAGAATAAAAACAATAGAAATCTTTATTACATAAATGTGTATGTAGGCATATATACTCATGTGTATATAAGGAGCTAATATGTGAGAGAGGACACAGAGAAGTCAAAGGTATGTGTGAGGGAAATGAATGTTTTTTATTTGTATGTATGCAGAAGTATGTATGTCTATGTGTATATGCACATGTGTATATGTATGTGTGTGTGTTGGGGGCAGCTAGATGGTGCAGTAGATAGAGCACTGGGCCTGAAGTCAGGAGGACCTGATTTCAAATCCAGCCTTAGATACTAGCTTTGTGACTGTGGGCAAGACCCTTAACTTTGTTTGTCTCAGTTTCCTCATCTGTAAAATGAGTTGGATAAGGAAATTGCATTATCTTTGCAAAGAAAAACCCAAATGAGACCACAAAGAATCCAGCACAACTAAAACGAATGAATGATAACACATGTGTATACATACACTATATATGGACATGTATATGTGTATTTTTCTCTTGGTTTTCCATATATACTTTAAAAATTTTGTAAATTTATTTATTTTTAGTTTTCAACATTCACTTTCATAAGCTTTTGAGTTTTAAATTTTCCCTCCTCTCCCCATCCCAAGACAGCATCCATATACACTTTATAAGCAGTTTCATCTCACTAAACAACAAAAAGCAGTGTGTGGTGGGGGTGGTGGGGGACTAGACTGAAGAAATTTTCTTGTGAAACTCAGTTAAGCCAGTTCTTCCCAAGGGTGCTTTTAGCTGAAACTGAAAGAGTAACAAATTTGTATGAAAGGAAACAGATCTGCCCCAATGGCTGTGGAAATTCTATCTCCCCAGTGACAATGGAACCCCCATATATGGATCCTAACACCTCAGAACCTAACTTGTTTGAGAATGTGGGGCTAATAATCAAGAATAGTCTGGAAAAGTAGCTGGAACTAATTGAATGCATATTAGAGAAATATGCTCTGGAGGGACACAATTTTAAAGGCACTTAGGAGTCTGTTTTCATGTTAGTTCAAAGAATGAAACAAATGAACAACATCACATTTTATTATTAAAAGTCTTAGCCCTCAGGCAAGCAAAAATAGACCAGAAATCGCCAGCTCATATACTTACTTCTTATCTTCATAAAAGTCTGTAACAGAAAGATCTGTTCATGTGAGTCTTCTTAGGTAAAATAATTAAGGGAACAGGCAGGTTTTCACAGATGATTTCCTACAGCAGACCACAAACCTCAAAAGGATATCTCCACAATTACAATCAGTTAATAAACATTTACCAAACACTTAATATGTGCCAGGCACTGTGCTAAGTACTGAGGATGAAAAGAAAAATGAAAGACAGTTCCTTCTGTCAAGGAGCTTGTAATCTAATGAGGGAGACAATATGCAACCAAATATGTACAAATAAGCTATAGACAATATAAATTAGAAATACTCAACAAGGGGAGGGCACTAGAATTAAGGGAGATTAGGAAAGCCTTCCTATAGAAGGTGAGGTTTTAGCTGAGACTTGAAGAAAGCCAGAAGGCAGAGATGAAGAGGAAAACATTCCTTGCACTGGGGACAGCCAATGAAAATGCCTAGAGTCAGAAGATGGAATATCTTGTTTGGGGAGAAGCAACAAGGCCAGCGTCATTGGGTCCCAGAGTACGTGGTGAAAGATGTGAGGTGTAAGAAGATTAGAAATTAGGGGGTAAGCAGGTCATGACAGTCTTTGAATGCCAAAAAGAGGATTTCATATTTGATCTTAGACAGAGTCACAGGAATTTGTTGAGAGGTGCCATAGTCAGAACTGCACTTTAGGAAGCCCAGTTAGGCAGATGAGTTGTAGATGAATTGTAGATGAGTGATGAGAGACTTGTCCAGATGAGAAAGAGTGACAGCCCATAAGAGGGTGGTGGCAGTGTCAGAAGAGAGAAGGAGGAATAGATAAGAAATATTACAAAAGTAAACTCAACAGTCCTTGGCAACAGATTAGCTCTGGGGAGGAGAGAGAGGAGAGAGAGAAAAGAGTGAAGAATGATACTTCCATGGCCAGTCTGGGTGTCTGGTAGGACGGTGATGTTGTCAGCGATAATAAGAAAGTTAGGAAGAAGACATGATTTGGAGAGAAAGATAATGAGTTCAGTTTTGGACATATTGAGTTTAAGAAGAGAAGAGACCCCAGGACAAAAGCACTAAAAGGTATGATGCATCAAAGGATAATGAGTAGCAGTCAAGTAGGAGGAGAACCAGGAGAGAGTAAAACCTAGGAAGAAGAGAGTATCAAGAAGAAAACAGTCATCAACAATGACAAAGGCTACAAAGATGTCAAAGAATCTTAGGATTAAAAAAAAAAGGACAATCTGTTTGGCAGTTAAGAGATCACTGGTAGCTTTGGAGAAAGCAGTTTCAGTGGAATGATGAGGTCAGAATCCAGTCTATAGAGCCTTAAAAGTGAGTAAGAGGAAAGGAGAGAGAGAGAGAGAGAGAGAGAGAGAGAGAGAGAGAGAGAGAGAGAGAGAGAGAGAGAGAGAGAGAGAGAGAGAGAGAGAATCTATTCAAGACAGCCTTCTCAGGAGTTCAGCAACAAAGGGAAGGAGAACTTTTTGTGCTGACACTTGCCTAATGTTTGTTCTCTCAGTGATGAATCTGAGCTCTGATGATTTATAAGAGATCTCTAGTGAGAATGAGATAGAGCAGTAGGTAGTGGGAAAGCCAAGAGCAAGCAGTATCACAAAAAGCTAGAGAGTGTCGAGGAGAAGAGATGGGGTGATAACTGTTGGAGGTGGATAGATCAAATTTATTACAGAAGCACCACATTCCTGTGCCTACTAAATAACAGGGTTTCTCATAACAAGCATGGT